TTTTTTTTCACCTCCAAAAATTAAAATTTCACTCAAAGTAGGTGGCCACAGGTATTCTAAGCCATTCTGTGAAGTTTTGAAATTTTTAATTTTTTTAATTTTTTTTGGGTATCTCAAAAAAATTAAAATTTACTCAAAAAGTGGGTGGCCACAGGTATTCTAAGCCATTTTGTGAAATTTTAAAATTTTTTTTTTTTTGGGCATCTCAAAAAATTTAAATTTTACTCAAAGTGGGTGGCTACAAGTATTCTAAGCAATTCTGTGAAGTTTCGAAATTTTTGATTTCTTGATTTTTTTTTAAAAATTCAACAAATTTCCTATTTTCCCGAAATCTGAATTTTTTTTTTATTTTCTTGACATTTTTATGATTTTTTCTGGAATTTTTCAATTTTTTGGGATTTTCTGATTTTTTTTAGATTTTTATGAATTTTTCGGATTTTTTAATTATTTTTATTTCATTTCTAAAAAAATGGATTTCTGTTCCTGGAAATAGAATTTTCTGTTGTTTATCAAACGGGTTTTTGTTTCAGGAAATAGAAATTTTGTGCTGTTATCAAACGGGTTTCTGTTCTAGAAATAGAAATTTTTGGTCGTTATCAAACGGGTTTTTTTTCTCAGAAACTCATCCAGGAACCAGAAATAGAAAAATCTATTTCTAGTTCAGGAACTCATTCCGGAACAGAATGGTTATCATGCGCACCCCTTCTCAATCGTTGGATAACTAAATTGATCAAATTGGCTCAAATTCATGTGAATCTTCCAAATTTGATTTCGAATTTGGATTCATATAATAAATTAGTCTCATTCATGTCTCAATTGCGCAAATCATGAAGAATTGATCAAAATCACTGATTATGGCCTAAATTGGGGGTTTTTGCGTTTGGCTTGGAATCACAAAATTGGTTCCAAAATTGAAAGTAATACAACCTCTAGATTAAATGTCATGAAGGAAACTAACTTAAAAAATGACTAGAAATGAAGCAATTTCATTTTTGGCCAATTTGAACCAAATTCCTCAATTGGGGAAAAAGTTGATTCTAAACTGATTTTTGTAAAATTTCAAATGCCAAAGGCAAATTGAATGTAAAATAAGATGATTTTTGGATTTTTGTATTTTTCAATTTTTTGGTCAAAAGTTTGACCAAAAGTCAAACCCTAGTTGACTTTTTCACTAGGAGCTTGATTTTATGATCAAATCTTTGAATTTTTCTGGAATTTTCACTTCTAAAGTGAAATTGGACTTGAAAGGAATCTTTTTATATGAAAAGCCCCAATTTGACCTAGGATTGACTTTTGATCAAATGATTGATCAAAAAGTCAACGCGAAAGTCAACCGTTTGACTTTTCGGGTTTTTGCATGAAATGAATATAAAATTGTTTACAGAAACTAGGCCAACAAACAGAATTAAAAAACGACACTTTTTGTTCAAGAAACGGGTTCCGTCGCGATCGGAAATCATAATCTCGAATTTTCACTTTTAATGACGCGTCGGCTAAAAATTAGGTGTCAACAATGCTAAAGTAAAAGTTCTGATAAGGTAACTCCAGATACTTGTGAACATCACTGGAGATTGCCAATATGTGTTATCTTCTGTCCTTATTCATTTTCCTCGACATGTCTTCAGATCAGCCAAAATCTCGAACAATCACATTCTCAGCGACATTCTATCAAGCACGTTATATGCAACGAGTAGAGGAACGAAACAAAGCATTATGACTTCAAATTAAATATCGCATCCAAACAAAATAAGCCTAATATGTCTCTAATTGCTAGCACACACTCGAATAGAATCGATTCTATCCTAATCTAGAACATATAATTTCGATTCTTTTTTCTTCATCAAAACAGGGTATGACCGGGAAAGAGAAATTACCTCGTCGACAATGAAAACTTGATCACGATTACCAGTCGAGTTTGCACAAGGAGGATTTGGAAAATGTCGCAGGTGAGATCAAGTACCGGTGATGGAGCTTTTAATGAGAATGAATCACTTCAAGTCCTCTCGGCCAAAAAACAGAGTGAAACAGGGGAAATTTGGGGCCGTAAGGTAGTGGAGAAAAGCGGCGTCGTCGGATGGTGTTCAATGGCGACCATAACAACTACAACTAGACTTGAATCGGCAATGAGTAGTCGGTGACGACAGAGGAGACAAGCGAGAAAGAAGGGCTGAATATCACAGGCGGACTGGACACGACGGAGATGGAGAACAACTGGTTCGGTGAAGCTCGCGGTGGAGTGTAGCGGAGGAAAACCGTCGCAGTAGACTAGGCTTCGTAGATTGGACTTGTACGAATTGGACTGGGAGTTACTGAGTCGGTGGAACATCTTATGTTCCTTTTTCTCATATATTTGATTTGTCATAAATGGCCATTCGTAACACGAGTAAAACCCGCAAATGCATGTCTGAAGCGTACGCGAACAAAACGTACGTGTGAGAAATTTTATCGATTTCTTGTACTTCCAATTCGAAATATTAAGCTAAATTTTAATAGAGCAATAATGTATAATTACAGCTAAAAACCTTGATGAAATTCTAAGTTTCAAATAGGAAATAGATAAATTTATTGCCAATAAATTCCAGTGGGTGAGCTTGGCACTTGCCAAAACCAGCCGGATTGGGTTCAAATCTAACGTATCTAGTGATCGGGTCTAATTAAGTGCATCCTATCATGTCATATTCAAATATGTTTTCCTATATATATATTAGCGTTCATGTCATGTGAAATTGCCACTACCAGCTCTAAGAATGGATGGGACATGGTTCTTTGACCATATTCGACTTGGGGATTGGGACTAGGCGCCCCTTAATTCCTTCCATCGTAGGGCATGGAGTGAGCCCAACTAGCAAGTAATTGCATTATAAGTTTCTTAATGAAAATGTGAGGACTCAAAACAAGATTGTTGTAGGTTTCAATAACAAAGGCACCACAAAATATTTTCGGAAGTTATTATGAAATTTCTAATTATAACACGAAATAAATATCTTACTCATGTGTTTAGTATTTTTATAAACTCGCTCACATGCACCCATAAGTTGGAAATATCGAGGATGCATCAAGCTTGACTACCTGAGCTTGATCTTTCAGCTTTTGGGGCTGGAGTCATAATTGACTGGGACTTTAAACCAATTTTGTAGGAGAAGCCCAAAGAAACAATCAAAAGTAGGAAAGAAATTGGTTTCAATATAACTCACCTTTTAAAGTGTCTAGTCGACGAGGTCATCCTCGATGGTACAATAATTAACGTTGTACAGATTACGATAATAATCACATGAAGGCGGGCATTCACTCATCGATAAATTTTTTTTTTGGTCGAAGAACAAATTTATTCATTTATGGAGATGATTTGAAAAGTCCAAAACAAGGAGAATCTAAGCATAAGAGAGCCCAAAGAGCTTGCGGGGGAGCTGAGAGCCAATATTGTGGAAGAGAGCCAAGACGTTGGGTCTTCGCGATCCAATCGGCAGCTGCGTTTAAAACCCGCGGACAATGGGCTATGCGGATTGAGGGGTGAGCTTTGAGGAGCTAAAGACAATCCATGATAAGGACTTGCTCCTCCCAATTGAATAAATTTGCAGACCCACTTCTCAGAGCTCCTCCCATTTGTTCTTTTAGGCCTGTCGCGACCTAAATTTCTCAGGCTAATGGATTGTTAAGACTAAACCTAACTCGGGCCCTCCCAAGCCTTACCAATTCGCAACTTAGGGTTTAAGTTTTTTAACATACAAAAGTTTTCATGCTTGGAGTCGCCACTAATCTACTTGTGGTAGGTCGATTAGAAACCTAAATAAAACATAGGGAGATATGTTTTATTCCTACGAACCAGAGATTCTAAGCTCGGGGACTTGGTTACGCTAGATCTAGTCTAACGCCCTTTCGGTACCTTTTCTTTTCAAAAATGTTTATGCAGGCAGTCTAGATACATTTTATTACATAATCACTAACATGTGAGGTGTTCATGCAGGTGCGCAAACCACCAATTTAACACCCAAGAAAGCAATAAATAAATTACAAGATTAGGAGAATGACGTACCTTAGAGCAATGCAAGCATCTGCATTGTTAGTAGAAAATCACGCAGACAATCCTAATATGATTTCTAATTAACAAAGCAAGGCACTCGAAGTCTTCTTTAGGGTTTGCACTTTATTAAAATACAAACTAACCTATATGCAATGACGTGCAAAAAATGACATGCGATTAATGCAACCTAGCATGCGAACTATATGTCATGCGATGACGTGACCTAATTCTAATGACGGACAAATGATTTATTTTTGGTATTTTTCCAATGAAATTCGAAATAAAAAAAATAACCTAAACAATCTATTAGGATTAGAATAACCCCTAATTTAAACTAGGAAATAAATTATCTCAAGTCCTAATTTAAATTAAATAATTATCCTATCTTCTAGATACATTTAGGGTTCCCTAACATGCAAGACTTCTAATTTAAATCCTAACTAACATATTTTTGGATTTTCTTTATTTAAAAAAAAACAATCAAACAAAGATAACAACCGCACTCAAACAATCCACGCAATCCGCAAGATTCTTCTTATCAAATTTGAATTAGGAAAAGAAATCAAATTAACAGTCATATCTATAGGGTTATAGATATCGACGGAAAACTGATTATTTGAATTTGGAAAGCGAATAAAATCTATTATCGTATCCAAGTGATTATGGATAAGATAACGATTTTCCGTACCGCCGCGTATCGTACCTAGGGATAAGGTCGGATAGTCGTCCAGATACGTTTGCCAAATTAGAAAAAATTCCTAATTTAGGGTATCTTAGAATATTGCGGATATCGCAAATATTATCCTAAGGTATCTAATCAATCACGCAATATTCACGGAATATTCAAACATCCGAAAATTAAGAAATCAAATATTCTGAAAATATTGGATAACATCCTCACCTAATTTCGAGATATTCCCAAATTTGGACTCGCGGATCGGGACGAGCGGCAGTGGGACGGATGGTGGCTAGCGGTGGATCACAAGCAGCTTCTCTCGGTGTCGAGCTCGCTGTGGATCACGTGCAGCTCGTTGTGATGGCAGAGAGGGAACTCGGCTTCGAGGACTTCAAGAGTAAAACTTTCGCTGCCCTTTGTAGAAGAAGTGAACAGCGCCCGGTCCGAGAAGCTGCGCCGCTCGGGGGTGATGCCCGTGTCGAAGACGCCGACGATGATGTCGGACCCGTAGTCGGACTCGGACCAGAGGCCGCGCTGGTTGCGGAGGCCGAGGAACTGCGGGGAGAGGGTGGTGTGGAGGCGGCGGCGGCGGTCCTCGAAGGCGGCGAGGACGTTGGGGTGGCGGAGGAGGGCGGAGGCCTGGGGCCCGGTGAGGGTGGCAGAGAAGCCGTGGAAGACGGTGTCGTAGGTGTGGAGGATCCGGGCCGGGTCGGCGAACTCAGAGGAGTACCAGTGGTAGTGGGTGGGGAAGATGGAGGGCTTCGAGCTGGAGTCCACGCGGACGATGTAGGTCGCCACCGCCTCATCGGAGGAGTAGCGGACGAAGTAGAAGAAGAAGGAGAGAGTGAACAAGAAGAGCGAAGAAGCCATGAGAGCGATAGTGAAGGAAGTGAGTGAAGTGTGCCGACAGCAAATGGAGTGATTGATATAGTTAAGAATTATTGTCTTTTCCCTATATTTTTTTTGAAAATTAGTTAATTATTTTTTAGGTTAATCCTACGAAAAATCCTAAACTGATACGCAAGCATCCCGCATGTAGAAGAAGTCAAAGTGGTGATATGGATAATTCATGAGACCATCCGTGAGAGATCGTGAGGAATAAACAAAAGTGAGAAAAAATAAGTGTAAGTCTTGATTTGCTCAGAGAGAAGAATCTTCCCCGTATGCTTTTCTCATAATGTAGAAGTGGATGCCTCCATGAATAATCCTCTCCAGCCACCAAGATTTCTCCTTTTGTCTTTTCTTTTAGGCTCCCAATTCCACCTCGGTTTGTCTCCTTCTGCAATAGAGCAAATCTTCACCGAGTGATCTTCTGTGTTGTCTTCTTGTATCAATTGTTACTCTTGGCACGCATGAGAGTGATCGGTGGAATTGTTTTGTCGAGCCTCCTCAAGGTCTGAGCGGCGGAGAAATTTTGACCGACTTCAGCCTTGATCTCCTCTTGCGGAGAGCGAGACCGCAGGTGTTGCTGCTTATGGATGTGAAGAGACCAAACGCGGAGAGCGATACAGAGAGAGTGGAAGCTTCAAGATGTGCGGTTGCGCGTGGCGGTGCCGCCGTGAGAAGCGGCAGCGCGGGCTAAGAAGTGAACAGCGGCAGGAGCTTTGCCCTAAGATCTTGTTTTCCCTCCTCTCTCAATATTGCTCTCTCTCTTTTTCATGACCGTGTATTCTATTATGTGTGGCCTCCCCCCGAGAGAATCCTCAATGAATGTATTTATAGGCAAAGCTTAGGTTTTTTGCTTGCAATTATTTCCTATTTTGATTCAAAGAAAATATTGCAATATCTCTGGGGTAATGTCAATTCATTCAATGATAATATCAAGATTAACAAATCAATATTTTTCAACTCGACAATTTCCAATGAAATTAGCTCTTATAATGTTCATGGGCTTGGCCAAGAATTTTCTTGAACGCGGGCTTAGTCCAATTAATTCCATTAAGTTCAAAACCTTTGCACTTGAGTCCATCCGCCGCTGGTCCAATGCAAATGCAACTATATGAGCCTAAATACAAATTCAAATGCTTCTAATCTATATGCAATTTAACTAATTTTTTGTCTAAGGACTGGGATCGATCCCTAATTTTTTATGTAACGAACGACTGACTGGATCGTCAAAATTTAGGTGTCAACAAGGCCTCAAGCACGTAGGTCCTACGTGGGACTCATCAAATGTGATGATTTAAATTTAGTTTAGTACATGTATTAGGTTTACCGAATAATTACCTGCGGGAAAATATCATCATCATCGTCACATCAACTATTTTCCGCAATTAAGGTGGACAAAAGAAAGTAGGAAAAGAATATGGGGGTTAGGAATTCATTATGTAAAATGAAGTACGTTTTTTTTTCACGTGATGGGAGTCCCTTACAGCTTCGTTCATGCATGGCACCGTATTCCGGGACAGGGAAACCACTCACGTGTTACTTCACCGTTAGAAACGCCAATTACCAGCCGAAATTTATGACATTATGGTAATATATAATTAGCTGCTACCCTTATTGTGCCCCTTGCACACAATTCTGTCCCGAAAGACAAATTTAAATGGGGATCCATGACAGTGGGTTGCCGTGTTAGTTCACTTTAGCCGGCTAGCATGGCTAATTACGTTCAAGCCTCTGGATTATACAAAAAAAAGAAGAAGAAGACATCTATATGTCCTTTTCGTTTTTTGATCTGACACATACACATCAATCAATATCTATCTACATAAGCTAAAACGCCATTTGTCTCAATTTTAGATTTCCTATATTATCAGTCATCTCTTTGTCTTATAGCCACCCGTTTCACAGATAAACCATTCAGTTTCTTTAGTCTCTTCACGGTATTAGATTTCCTAGTTACCCTTGTTTGCTTTATCACATATACTTACCTATTTCATATGTAACTGCTTATTTTCTTCTATGCATAATTACCTTATTATTCGCTCGAGCGTAGCGCGTGCCTTGACCCTAGTACACAATAATAGTGATGATAACATGGATTAATTGCTATTTCCATTCAAGCGAAGTGATTGCATTTATTGCAATTTGAAGATATTTTCAAACGGACAACATACATTCTTATGGTGAAATAGACGAGAGTCTTTCAACGGTGGTGATATTACTTTACCTCCTTCCTTATGCACAAAAGACATGCATCCTCATTCAATGCCTAACTCACCGGCGAGATGATTAAGAAGATAGAGGCTTTCAACCATCATGAAGTAAACTACAAGTTTATATTAGCCGTGTCACCGATATTTGCACTCTCTTTTCAGGTTTATATTCAATGAAATCTTTACATAAATGAAAGCGGGGGCTTTTCGAGAGATCTCTAATAATATACCATTTTCTAGCCTTTTTTTTCTTTCGTAATACTTAATAACCCTTGATTTAAGGGAAGTCCATTTTACAATGCAAGAATTATTGAGAGAAGAACTCGACTTGGTGGCGTGGTGACACTAGAATTTTAATTCTTAGTTATTTGCATTAACATCAAAACACATCATCTATAACTTTTGTTTAAATATTTTAATGATTCACTACATATATATATATTAAGTGCAGATCTTATCATGGATTTGCCGACCCGCATGTGGATCAATAGAATCTACCAGGTTGGGTTTGGGCAAGACCCCTAGAATTTCGAACCGAGCCTACCTAGGAATTACGCCTAACTAAATGAATCTTATCGGGTAGTACTAAGATTTCAACCTCTATATATGATCTTTTATCTCATATAGAGTTCATGTGAATGAGTGGTCTGCAATATTGCAACTGCCATCTCTAAGAATGGATGGGACCATAATTGACTTGGGGATTGGGACTAGACCCCCCTTATCCCCTCCTTCTTAGGGCAAGGGGTGAGCTCGACTAGCTAGTAATGGTAGGAGTGTTACAATTGCATACACATTTTCTTAATTAAACGATGCAATACTACTCTTGGGGACAAATCAATGGGATATTAAAGTGTGAGGACTCAAAACAAGGCTATAGGCTTCATTGAATCCACCAATGGAAACTTTACGAATCATTTAATAAAGTGGATTTAATCCATATTCTTAGTACATTTAGCATTTCTCTAGCCTCAATAACTATGCACCATAATTTCAATTACCGATTATTGCTTTGCCAAAGCATATAATATCTTCGGAAGTTATCATTGAAATTTCTAATTATAACCCAAAATAATCATCGCACTCATGTATTCAATATTTTCAATACTCGCTTACATGTAAACATGAGTTAGAAAAATCGAGAATGCATCAGCTTGACTACTAGAGCTTGATGTTTCGGCCTTTATTGCTTGACTCATGATGGACTTGGACTCGAAAACAATTTCGTGGAAAAGGCCAAAAGCCTAAAACTTATACCCAAGAGACGACATATGCAAAGGATTTTGGAAAAAGTATACTAGAAGCCTAAAACTTATCATGAAGGTGTAATTGAGTCCTAAAACTTTCAAAAAGTACATTTAAGTCCTAAAACTTTCAAAAAGAGTAATTAACAGAAAGACTTGATTTGACCAATTTGATAAGTTTTAGGACTTGATTGCACTTTTTGAAAGTTTTATGACTCAATTGCACTTCCGTGATAAGTTTTAGGACTTAATTGCATTTTTTGAAAGTTTTAAGGCTCAATTATATTTTGGTGACAAGTTTTAGGACTTCCAGTATACTTATATCAAGGATTTTTGTGGAAAGAGAGAAAAGAGTTTCAAGAAAACTTACCTTCTAATGTGTCTAATGAATATCTATAGCTAAAATTTAAAAAATAAAAGAAAAAACATATAAGAAGACAAGGTCATCGTCGATGGTACAACCTTAATTCACATTTTACAGAGTATGAAAATAATCACATGAAGGCGAGATTCGTTCATCAATCATTTTGACGGGCATCTCTCTAGTCATCGTGGCCTAGTTTGAACATTCGACTTTTCCATGCACAGATTTTTCCACATGATCACCCTATAAATACCCTTTTAGCTTTTGATATTCTCTTTATCAATCAACTAAGATCCTTCCTATGTCAAATTTCTTTAGGTCTCTCACAATATGAGTTCCCGTGTGACAGTCCCTCTACGTCTTACTTTCCTCATAGCGCTAAGAAAAGTGCAGATCCCATTGTCCATCGCCCAGGACTTGCCCCAAGACTATGTCGCAGCCCACAATGCGGCCCGCTCTTAGGTCAGTGTGGGCCTGATTGCGTGGGATGAGGAAGCAGTTGGCTATGCCAGGGATTACGCCAACAAGCATGCCAACGACTACATGCAACTTGTTCATTCAGGCGGACCCTATGGGGAGAACCTTGCGTGGGCTTCCCCCAATCTTACTGGCACAGGAGCGGTGAACATGTGGGTCGGGGAAAAGCCCGACTATGACTACAATTCCAACTCATGCGCACTGGGGAAGGTCTGTGGGCATTACACTTAGGTGGTGTGGGGCAACTCAGTTAGGCTCAGATGCGCAAAGATCCAATGTGCAACGGGCGGTACTCTGGTCATTTGTAACTACGATCGTCCCGGGAACTATGTAGGCCAGAAGCCTTATGGAATTACAATAATAAGTTGTATGTCGGATGATGAACAATAATGTCAAAATAATGCCCCATTCTGTGAGGCAAGAGCTTTAGATTAACCTAAATTAAATAGTGTACTATGATTTGCATTTAGATTATGAAACAACCGGTATGTTGTTTTCACTTTCTGCAAGACAGACGAGGACGATTCCTCATATTAAAAAATTAATTACACTGACATTTTTTTTATGATAACGGTGTAATAAGTTTGATCTTTCATTTGGGGAATAAGAAAAAAGAGCTCAAGTCCGAGCCCGTTCAATTTGTTAAAAAGCTTGAAACGATAATTTTTTTATTCATTTCATTAGCAA